CCTCTTCTATTCCATCATCCAATCTTGTTCATCCATCTATCCATCCATCCTTGTCTCCATCCATCTATCCATCCTTTTGTCTCCATCCATTTGTCTCCATCCATCCATTCCATGTCTCCATCCATCTATCCATGTCCATCCTTTTGTAAAGCTTGCTATTATTTTTATTTTTTTTATCTCCATCCATTATCCTTGTTTGAGCCATCCATCCAACCTTATTTGTGTTCCATTTTTGGATCCATGTTTTTCCTGGGGGCCATCCATCCATGTTTAAAATTTTTTTGCTGAAATTGTAAAGCTTGTCTGAGCTGTCAGAAAAAAAGGGGGTATGGGAGAGCTGAAATTACACTCTGCAGAGCTCAGTGAGGAGAGATGTTATAGAGCTGACTGGAGGGAAGAGACACCCCCCCTTTTTTACACAGTTCAAAGGAACAGAGCTGAGGCTGTCAATCTGCTGGAGGCCCCTCCCCTGTCACCATTTTTTCTCTCGGTTAATGTCATTTTTTGTCGCAGAATTGACTTTGCTGATAGCAAAGGAAGGAGGCAGCAGACAGAGATGACACTCAGTGCTCTGGACTGAGACAAGTACACCCTACAGAGCAGGGGGCGGACTGACCATTTTTTTGAAAACTCGTTTGGGGTTCAGACACAGTAGGGGGCCCCATGAGATCCCCCTGGTTTTTTCATAGGTTTTTTTTGAGTTTGGGCAAGGGACACAGGGGCCCCATGATCCCCTATTGCCCGGGGCGCCCTTTAGGAAAAAGTACGTAAAAAACAAATTCTGCACCACAAATATTTGTATGAATAAAAATAACTTTGTTATAAATACGACATAACACGACACCATGAACATTAGGACACTTCCTGTGAGCCCGGGGTGTCATGGACCCGCCCATTGGAGAGTGGATAAAAATGAAAACTTCACCCTTCCTGTAGATATTTACAATGCCAATTAACCGCTTCCACAGAAATGCTGCTACAGGGCGGCACGGGTGTGTAAAAAATCACGTGATGTTGCAGTTCCGGGTAGGGGGCGCGCTTTTTCCTACCCGCGCCCCTCGGCTGTCAATCACCAGGTCCCGACTAGGGATTCCCCGCCGGCATTTTTTTAATGAACTCCGAGCATTAGCCTAGGTTTCACACTGATGCGGCGCGGAATTGGCAGCGTTTTCAGCGAGAATTCCACACCACACCGCATCAGAATCGCACCCCGTTCATGCGAAACGCCGCCGGGTGTGTATGTTAACCCCTTGGCGCCGGCGCCTCCCGGCCCTTTAAGGGCTCGTTCACACTTGACACCCCTATAGCGTTTGACAATAGAATTTGCGGAGCATTTTTAAAATGCTCCGCAAACGCCGCATGCGCGGTTTTAGCGGCGGTTGCTAGGCGTTTGCCAAGCGTTAAAAAACGCCCCACAAACGCCTATAATGAAGTTTTGAATGGTGTTAACGCTCCGCAAACGCCCCGCAATTAATTTGTCGCAACCGCACCGCAAACACCGGCCGGGCATTTGCGGATTTTGCGAAAGTAGCACCATAGACTTGAATAGGAGGCTTCAACTCCTCCTGACTCGACCAGAGGTGTCCGTTCTGCCGCGATGAGACGCAATGCGACGCTAACGCTCCTGTTTGAACAGCACCATGTGCTGTAATGTGCAGAATTTTCCCAGGTGTTTGGGAAACGGTAAAAACTCTTCCGAAACGTCTCTCTGTATTTTGCTAACAAGGCGAGTGTGAACGTAGCCTAAGGGGTTCAGAAGCTGGGAATGGGGGCGGGGTTTAGGGTCATGTGACCGGCCATGACACGTATCAATTAAATGATTGCACTGGAAGGTAATTTAATTCAGTTTGATGTGTATTATCTGCGCAGTTCCATATCACAGAGACTGATCTAGGAGTAATATCGACGTTTATTTGAGAATGACACACACATTAGAGGGTTCCACCTTATTGTTATTGTTATGTTATTGATTAGTAAGGTAGCGCTGTTTTTTTTTTTTTTTTTTCTTCAAAATAGATATAGATGTGTATATTACAAAAAAATATGACCTACGATATATGATAAAACCAATGATATATATGATAACAGCACACTACCCAATAAACTCACCGTAAATAACACCTGTGAAAAAATAAATAAAATAATAATAATAATAATTATATATATATATTATTTATATATATAAAGTATTATTATAAAGCATTATTATTATTATTATTATTATTATTATATAATAATAATAATAATAATTTAATAATAATAATAAATAATAATAATAATAATAATAAAATTAATTATATATTTTGTTTTAATTTAAATTTAAAAAATATATATTTATATATATATATTATCTTTATTATTATTAATAAAATATTATTAAAAATATATTTATGTTAATAAAATATTTTTATCATACACACACACATATATATATATATATACATATATATATATATATATATTATAAAATAAATAAATATTATTATCATTATTATAATAACAATAAAAAAATATATATTTATTTAATATTTTAATTAATTAAAAAAATAAATAAATATATAAATATATATATATATATAATATTATATATAATATTATATTTTTAATAATACTATTAATAAATATATATATTTATGTTAATACTTAAAAAAAAAAAAATATATAAATATTGTTATTAATAATAAAATATATATTTATGTTAATACTTAAATAAAAAATATATATACACACATATATATATATATATATATTACATATATTTATTTAATTATTAACATAAAATATATATTTTATTATTAATAACAATATTTATATATATTTTTTTTATGTTTAAGTATTAACATAAATATATATTTCATATTAATATTATATATATCTATATATATTTATTATTATTTTTAAGTATTAACATATATATATTTATATTTTATTATTAATAATAATAATAATAATATAATATATATATATATATTACTAATAATATAATATTAATGTTATATATATTTATGTTAATACTTAAACATAAAAAAATATATATATATAAATATTGTTATTAATAAATAAAATATATATTTATGTTAATACTTAAACATAAATAAAAATATATATATATTAGCAGTCTGTCAATATAAAAACCCAACCACTCAAATCTCCTAGAAGCTGCAACATGTTAGGAGCATTTCAAAAATCATTTTTATTGCTATCAAAGGGTCGCAGCATGTTGCACCATCAGCATTATAATGGGAATACAAAGCATTCTTCTCACTGACAATCCTAGAGGAGATGACTGGAGAAATCACCTTCCATGCTGCGAGTGCTGCCTGTCTGCCAGCCGTCTCTTTCCACACCTTCCTGGGTCCCCAGCATGCTTTGCAGCTTCTCCTCCATGTCTAAGGACTACATGTCCCATGGTACCTTGCTGATTCCTGTGCCACCTCCTCTCAGAAGGCGGGTCCTGTGAGAGGTGTGACCTAGCAGTGCCTGCTCACAGGGTCTAGTGACTCCGTGTCCCAGAATTCCAGGAAGGACACGTGTGGGGTCTTCACAAGGTAAGTCTACAGATTCAAGCGGTTGGAGGAGGCTGGGAGTCAACGTGGAGATAAAGATCGGATTTTACTTTCTGACCAGAGATCTGCACCTTTCATGAAACAACCCCTGGTCCTCACAGCTACTTTTACAAGGTGGTATCTGGGTTTACAAAGGCTTTTGGTGCACACAGAGTGAATGTATATCCTTGGTGGCTATTGAAGAATATATTTCAATGAAGGTTGTGGCCCTCGCGGCCCCTGTAATTCCTCGCCCTTTGGTCAAAGTCCCTTTCCTTCTTATTCCAACGTCCCGAAGGCTACAAAGCGTCAGCGCCTAGATGGGGCCGTGTAGGACCTGGTTGTCCACCTTCCACTGGTAGGAACCCGTCTGTTCACACGTCTGTCTCTATGACAGCGGCGAGGGCGCGACGGTCCCTCCTCCCATGTTACCTCTGTGCTCCCTTTGTAGATGGAAGAACATGCCGTTGACCTGTGGAACTGGGGAATCACCAAGAGGGGAGGAGAAGCCATTACCGAGATGGAGAGATCTATGGGTAAGTTTGACGTCTTTGTGGTTTGACGCTCTTCCTTCTTTCTCTTTCTGGATTATGATTCTGGGTACCCCAGATTAGGGTGACCCCCTGTCTGACAATAACAGCCCCCCCCCCAGGGTCATTGAGCCTTAGAAACCGGTTTGACATCCTGCAATACGGCACCGCTGAGTATCGGTATTCCAAGAACCTCCACCATACCTATTCTGGACTTTGCACAGCATTGTCACCGAGAGCGATAGGAAACCAGAAGGTTAAGGTTGTCACCAGAACAGGAATAGAGGGGAAATCTTCCAATGGGGACACCTGCTCTCTAACAGCTGCCTAGGAGAGGATTTGTAGCCCTTTCTCTGGATAACCTGTTACGTCTCTGGGACAGGAAGTCAAGGGAAGTCTCCCCAGCAGAACTGAGGAGTTATAACCCATCTCCATTCCACCCAAAACCTACAAATGCCGGTTGTGGGTGTACTTACACTTTAACCGCCCCGCCCACCATATAGTCCAATGACGGGCGCAAGGTGGTTCTCTCTCGTTCTGGGAGGATGTCATATGACATCCTCCCATTCTCACCATGCATGCGCGGCTCCGGGAGCGTGTGGCGATCGGCGGTGCACTGTGTCCCTCGGATACAGCGGATCACCGATCCACGGAAAGAGCCGAAGATGACGGCTCGGTCATGTGATCAGGTGTGTCCAATCACAGCTGATAACATGTAAATAGGGAAATGCCGGTTATCTGCATTTCTCTCCTCACGAGCTGTCACGCTGACAGAGGAGAGGAGCGGAGAGCCGGTAATCGGCTTTCCGCGGAGGGGGACATGTACACTGATCATCAGGGCACTGATGATCAGTGTAGCCCCAGCAGTGCCACCTGTCAGTGTCCATCAGTGCCACATCAATGCCACATATCAGTGCCCATCTGAGCTGCCTTTCAGTGCCACCTATCAGTGCCAGTCAGTGCCACCTATCAGTGCGCATCAGTGCCGCCTATCAGTGCCCGTAGTGCCACCTATCAGTGCCGCCTATCAGTGCCAGATATCAGTGCTGCCTATCAGTGCCAGATATCAGTGCTGCCTATCAGTGCCAGATATCAGTGTTGCCTATCAGTGCCAGATATCAGTGTTGCCTATCAGTGCAGATATCAGTGCTGCCTTTCAGTGCCAGATATCAGTGCTGCCTTTCAGTGCCCATCAGTGATGCCTCATTAGCGCACATCAGTGAAGGAGAAAAATCACTTTATTTACAAAATTTTATAACAAAAACTAAAAAAAAAAACTTTTTTTTTTTTCAAAATTTTCAGTGATTTTTAGTTTGTTTAAGAAAAAAATAAAAAACCCCGAGGTGATTAAATACCACCAAAATAAAGCTTTATCTGTCTCAAAAAATGATAAAAATGTCATATGGGTACAGTGTTGCATGACCGCGCAATTGTCATTCAAAGTGCGACAGCGCTGAAAAATGGAAATTGTCCTGGGCAGGAAGGGGGTAGAAGTGTCCTGTAGGCAGGAAGGGGGTAGAAGTGTCCTGTAGGCAGGAAGGGGGTAGAAGTGCCCTGTAGGCAGGAAGGGGGTAGAAGTGTCCTGTAGGCAGGAAGGGGGTAGAAGTGCCCTGTAGGCAGGAAGGGGGGTAGAAGTGCCCTGTAGGCAGGAAGGGGGTAGAAGTGCCCGGTAGGCAGGAAGGGGGTAGAAGTGCCCGGGGTAGGCAGGAAGGGGGGTAGAAGTGCCCGGTAGGCAGGAAGGGGGTAGAAGTGCCCGTAGGGTGGGAAGGGGGTAGAAGTGCCCTGTAGGCAGGAAGGGGGTAGAAGTGCCGGTAGGCAGGAAGGGGGTAGAAGTGTCCTGTAGGCAGGAAGGGGGTAGAAGTGTCCTGTAGGCGGGAAGGGGGTAGAAGCGCCCTGTAGGCAGGAAGGGGGTAGAAGTGCCGGTAGGCAGGAAGGGGTAGAAGTGTCCTGTAGGCAGGAAGGGGGTAGAAGTGCCGGAGGGGGGAAGGGGGTAGAAGTGTCCTGTAGGCAGGAAGGGGGTAGAAGTGTCCTGTAGGCAGGAAGGGGGTAGAAGTGCCTGTAGGCAGGAAGGGGGTAGAAGTGCCCTGTAGGCAGGAAGGGGGTAGAAGTGCCCTGTAGGCGGGAAGGGGGTAGAAGTGCCCTGTAGGCGGGAAGGGGGTAGAAGCGCCCTGTAGGCGGGAAGGGGGTAGAAGCGCCCTGTAGGCGGGAAGGGGGTAGAAGTGCCCTGTAGGCGGGAAGGGGGTAGAAGTGCCCTGTAGGCAGGAAGGGGGTAGAAGCGCCCTGTAGGCAGGAAGGGGGTAGAAGCGCCCTGTAGGCGAGGGGTTAATATACCTCTCCTGCCCCCGAACTGTGACAGTGTTTGTATATGTATCAATTTGTGTCATTCCTTAGAGGCAGCTAATATGTTGCTTTGTATTGTAGTGCGTCATGTGTCCTGCAACCTTGCTTGCTGGTGTGAGGAATGTAACCAATCAGAGGCAACTTTAGAAAGGAATGTTTTGGTAAGAATACGCCTCTAGAGTACATATTTTATTAAGCATGCCGTAGACCTCACATTAGAACTAATTCCTGCACCTTCACCCCTCAGATCACCCCAATTCCTGCACCTTCACCCCTCAGATCACCCCAATTCCTGCACCTTCACCCCTCAGATCAGCCCAATTCCTGCACCTTCACCCCTCAGATCATCCCAATTCCTGCACCTTCATGCCCCAGATCATCCCAATTTCTGCACCTTCATGCCCCAGATCATCCCAATTTCTGCACCTTCATGCCTCAGATCACCCCAATTCCTGCACCTTCACCCCTCAGATCACTCCAATTCCTGCACCTTCACGCCTCAGATCACTCCAATTCCTGCACCTTCACGCCTCAGATCAGTCCAATTCCTGCACCTTCATGCCTCAGATCACCCCAATTCCTGCACCTTCATGCCTCAGATCAGCCCAATTCTTGCACCTTCATGCCTCAGATCAGCCCAATTCCTACACCTTCATGCCTCAAATCACCCCCAATTCCTGCACCTTCACCCCTCAGATCACCCCAATTCCTGCACCTTCACCCCTCAGATCACCCCAATTCCTGCACCTTCATGCCTCAAATCACCCAATTCCTGCACCTTCACACCTCAGATCAGCCCAATTCCTGCACCTTCATGCCTCAAATCACCCCCAACTCCTGCACCTTCATCCCTCAGATCACCCCAATTCCTGCACCTTCACCCCTCAGATCAGCCCAATTCCTGCACCTTCATGCCTCAAATCACCCCCAACTCCTGCACCTTCACCCCAGATCATCCCAATTCCTGCACCTTCATGACCCCAGATCAGCCCAATTCCTGCACCTTCATGCCCCAGATCACCCCAATTTCTGCACCTTCATGCCCCAGATCATCCCAATTTCTGCACCTTCATGCCTCAGATCACCCCAATTCCTGCACCTTCACCCCTCAGATCACTCCAATTCCTGCACCTTCACGCCTCAGATCATCCAATTCCTGCACCTTCATGCCTCAGATCAGTCCAATTCCTGCAACCTTCATGCCTCAGATCAGCCCAATTCCTGCACCTTCATGCCTCAGATCAGCCCAAATTCTTGCACCTTCATGCCTCAGATCAGCCCAATTCCTACACCTTCATGCCTCAAATCACCCCAATTCCTGCACCTTCACCCCTCAGATCACCCCAATTCCTGCACCTTCACCCCTCAGATCACCCCAATTCCTGCACCTTCATGCCTCAAATCACCCCAATTCCTGCACCTTCACACCTCAGATCAGCCCAATTCCTGCACCTTCATGCCTCAAATCACCCCCAACTCCTGCACCTTCATCCCTCAGATCACCCCCCAATTCCTGCACCTTCACCCCTCAGATCAGCCCAATTCCTGCACCTTCATGCCTCAAATCACCCCAACTCCTGCACCTTCATCCCTCAGATCACCCCAATTCCTGCACCTTCACCCCTCAGATCAGCCCAATTCCTGCACCTTCATCCCTCAGATCCCCAAATTCCCTCACCTTCACATTTCAGATTAGTTTTCAGTTCCTGCCTGTTCAGACCTCAGATCACTCCAATTGCTGAACCTCATACCTCAGATCACCCCAATTCCTGCACCTTCCCACCTCAGATCAGCTCAATCCCTGAACCTCATACCACAGATCACCCCAATTCCTGCACCTTCATCCCTCACTTCTCCCCAATTCTTGCCTCTTCAGACCCCAGATCACCCCAATTCCTGAACCTCATACGTTAGATAACCCCAATTCCTGAACCTTCATACCTCAGATCACCCCAATTCCTACACCTTCAGACCTCAGATCAGACCTCAGTGCTGCACCTTCATACATCAGATTGGCCCCAATTTCTGCACCTTCAGACCTCAGATTACCCAAATTCCTGAACCTTCACCCCTCAGATCTCCCCAATTCCTGCCTCTTCAGACCCCCAGATCACCCCAATTCCTGCCTCTTCAGACCCCATGATCACCCCAATTCCTGAACCTCATACCTTAGATCACCCCAATTCCTGAACCTTCATACCTCAGATCAGCCCTCAGTGCTGCACCTTCATACATCAGATTGGCCCCAATTTCTGCACCTTCAGACCTCAAATCGCCCCAGTTCCTGAACCTCATACCTTAGATCACCCCAATTTCTGCACCTTCAGACCACGGATCACCAGAATTCCTGTACCTTCACCCCTCAGTTTTCCCCAATTCCTGCACCTTCAGACCTCAGATTACCCCAATTCCTGAACCCTCATATCTTATATCACCCCAATTCGTGCACCATGAGACCACCCATCAGCCCCCAATACTGCACCTTCATACATCAGATTGGCCCCAATTCCTGCATCTTCTCGCCTCAGCTCACCCTAATTCCCACACCTTCAGATCTCAGATCATTCATAGTTCCAGGACGTTCAAACCTCAGATCACCCCAATTCCTTCACCTTCAGACCTCAGATCACCCCAATTCCTAGACCTTGACACCTGAGTTCACCCCAATTCCTGCACCTTCATGCCTCAAATCACCCAATTCCAGCCCCTTCATCCCTCAGATCACCCCCAATTCCCGCACCTTCAAATTTCAGAATAGTTTTTCATTCCTGCCTGTTCAGATCTTAGATAACTATAATTGCTGAACCTCATACCTCAGATCACCCCAATTCCTGCACCTTCCCACCTCAGATCACCTCAATCCCTGATCCTCATACCACAGTTCACACCAATTCCTGCGCTTTTAGAAAAGTGTTTTCCTCATTTCCCTCCAAGTGTCTTCCTCAGTTCCCTCCAAGTGTCTTCCTCAGTTCCCCTCCAAGTGTCTTCCTCAGTTCCCTCCAAGTGTCTTCCCTCAGTTCCCTCCAAGTTTTCTCCCTCAGTTCCATCAAAGTTTCTTCCTCAGTTCCATCCAAGTTTCTTCCTCAGTTTCCAACTCCAAGTTTCTTCCTCGGTTCCATCCAAGTGTCTTCCTCGGTTCCATCCAATGTATTCCTCAGTTTTGAGCAAGTTTCTTCCTCGGTTCCGTTTCAATGTCTTCCTCAGTCCCATCCAAATGTCTTCCTCGGTTCCGTCCAATGTCTTCCTCGGTTCCGTCCAATGTCTTCCTCGGTTCCGTCCAATGTCTTCCTCAGTTCCCTCCAAGTGTCTTCCTCGGTTCCCTCCAAGTGTCTTCCTCGGTTCCATCCAAGTGTTTTCCTCAGTTCCATCCAAGTGTTTTCCTCGGTTCCCCCAAGTGTTTTCCTCAGTTCCATCCAATGTCTTCCTCGGTTCCATCCAGTGTCTTCCTCAGTTCCATCCAAGTGTCTTCCTCGGTTCCGCCCCAAGTGTCTTTCCTCGGTTCTGCCCAAATGTCTTCCTCGGTCTTCCGCCCAAGTGTCTTCCTCAGTTCCATCCAATGTCTTCCTCAGTTCCATCCAAGTGTATTCCTCATTTTGAGCAAGTTTCTTCCTTGATTCCGTTCAATGTCGCCCATAGTCCCATCCAAGTGTTTTCCTCAGTACTGTCCAAATGTCTTCGTCGGTTCCATCCAATTTTTTACTTGGTTCCGTCCAATGTCTTCCTCAGTTCCATCCAAGTGTCTTCCACAGGTATGTCAGGAACATACCCCAGTATTTATATCTGCCCTGGTAACTCAGTCACCTTCATTCAATCACCATGATACATGTCAAGGCAGATGTTGATCGCCCTAGAACATGACAGGTGGCTACTACTGCCTAGGCAATCCGTTAATACGCATGAGCCTTGCCCTTTGGTCCTGTACACTGATTGTATCATGGTAAGGTATCTCCTAGCTTTAGAAATATCTATGATCACTTTACTCCTCAGATGGCCATGAAAACTGGAAAGGGTTGGATAGACATTGGAAAGCCGAAGCGGGCGTCTGTGTTTCTTGAATTCTCCATGGATGTAAGTTACATAAGATATGAGATCGGATGGAGTCTGCCAGTGACTCAGCTTGTTAAGCGTTTTCATCATGTCTCTACTAGACTCTAGAAAAGCTTTATTGCATGAAGACTCAGAGAAGCGCTCAGGAGACAGATGTGAACTTGTACAAAGACTGGGTGGAGAAGGAAGTCTTCAAAGTGCTGACATATCAGGCGGAGGCCGTAAGTCCCATAGTGTCTAGCCTTCTTAACCACTTCCCCCGACCGGCCGTTGTATATAAACGGCTGGACGGTGGCACTGCAGGGTCGGGTGGCCGTCTATAAACGGCCTCCCCGCACCCTGCTTGTGCGTGCTCCCTGGGAGCGCGCAGCACCGCGATCCGGTGCTCGCTGTGTCCTCCGGACACAGTGAAACACCGATCGTCGGACGGGACCTCTGTACGAGGTCCCGATCATGTGATCACTGATTGGCCAATCAGTGATCACATGCAAAGTAGTAAGCAAGATGTCACTTCTGACATCATTGCTTACTATGTGTGAAATCTGTGAATGATCACAGAGGTCACATGGTAAAGGGCTATTCACAAAAGCCTTGTACCATGTGACAAGCTGTGACCAATCACAGCTCACTCAGTTCTTCTCAATGAGTGCAAGAATGCAGACAGAGAGAAAGAGAAATGATTGCTTTTACATCCTATATGGGTGTAAAAGCAATCAGTGTAAAAAAAAAAAATCTTCATCACCCCTCACAAGTAGTACAGTGTCACCATGGTGACACTGTACTGCTAGGGTGACAGTATGTAAAAAAAAAATAAAAATAAATAAAAAATAATAATATAAAAAAATAAAATAAAAATGTAAAAAAAATGTTTTAAAAATTATAATTTTTGCTTATAAACAAATTTGGATTTTTTTTTTTTTTACTAAAAAGATAACGGAATAAATTTTGGCCAAGATTTATGATGAAATATTATTTATTTGCAAAAAAAATTTTTCAAAATTTTTGGACATTTCATTTACATAGCAAAAAAAAAATACAAATCCCAGCAGTGAATAAATACCACCAAAATAAAGCTTTATCTATCTCAAAAAAATGGTAAAAAATTCATATGGGTACAGTGTTGCATGACCGCGCAATTGTCATTCAAAGTGTGATAGCGCTGAAAGCTGAAAATTGCCCTGGTCAGGAAGGGGGTAAAAGTGTCCGGTCTGGAAGTGGTTAAATCTGAAGTGTAATCTGATTGTATTTTGACTCCCCGGGGTTCCTTCCTACCCCCCTCGTCAACATGCTTATTGATTTATGAAATAAAACGTTTTTGTTTTCATTACATTTCGTCTCAGTGATGTCATCACTGGGTCTCCGTGGTTCCCTATACAACGCAAGCAGATCATGGTTGGTGGGAGGGGCTGACAGAGTTTTTGCTAAACATAGCTTCCTGAAAACATCACAGCACCTTGCCTCCTCCTCCTCCTCCTCTCAAGAGCCCCGATGCAAGCAGCGGGCTGGCTTTTTGGGAAAGTCGTGCAAATATCAAAATAACCGATGGGTGGGTGTCGGTGTGGAGCAGTGGGTGTTCCTAGGTGGGCTGTATTTGTATGCAGACCGCCCTAGGTAACGCCCACATGCGATGCTGAGCCACCATCATGGAAAGAACTGAAATCAATAAATGGAACATTAAAGCGGAGTTGCTGACTTTTAAGAATTCAGCCACTTACCTGTCCCTCGGTCCCGTGGTGTGTCCCCCCGCAGCCCATTTCACCAGTTGTCCTGGATTCCAGGAGGCCGGCATCTTCAGTGAGGGCACCCGGCAGTGCAGCTTCATGAATGGTCCTGTAGTCTTCAGGGGACCTGTCACGTGTTTTCAAAACTACAGGGAGGGGAGGACACCTTCCGGACCGGAAATGGGGAGCGGGTACCTGTCAGATTCGGGTACCGGCTCCCCATTGCCCCCCAAAGGTGCCAATCCTTAATGGGGAGCGGGGGGGGAGCAGTCCTTAAAGCGGAACTTCCCCTTTTGGGTGGAGCTCCGCTTTAAGATCCCGGTCACACTGGGTGCGACGTGGCATGCGATCTGCATGCCATGTGGCTTGCAAATCGCATTCCAAGTTGCACCCTATTGTCCTCAATGACAGCGGTCATTGGTCGGAGCCAGAGGCGTCCCTAGGGTTGGTGTCACCCGGTGCCGGAACACTTGGTGACACCCCCTCCGACGATCCCCGTAGGATGGATGGGATCTGCAGATTGAGCGTAATGGATCGGAGTCCGGTCCATTATCCTCCCCAATCCGCAGATCCCCTCCATCCTGCGGGGATCGTCGGCTTGCAACCTATACGGGGTTAACTGATCACTCCACGAAAAGGTAAGTTTTTTTAAAGCAAGCCGACGATCCCCGCAGGATGGATCTGATCTGCGGATTGGGGAGCATAATGGATCGGACTCCCATCCATTATGCCCAATCCGCAGATCCCGATCCATCCTGCGGGGATCGTCGGCTTGCAACCTATACGGGGGTTAACTGATCACTCCACGAAAAAGGTAAGTTTCAAAGCAAGCCGACGATCCCCGCAGGATGGATCAGATTTTTTTCTTGTGCGGTGCGGCATATCGCATGTGATTCGCACGGGAAACTGCGCCGCATTCCTGTACAAATCACATGCAAATTCTGTGCGGTGCGATTTGAGCCGTACATTTTTATATGACGCAAATCGCACCGCAGCCGCACCAAAAAGGTGCTGCGAATTTGGCACGCATCAGTGAGAACCCGGGTCAATGAAGGTGCCCTGGTGTGTGCGTTTATATCTCATACCTGCAATACCTCCAGAACAAAGCCAAAAGCCAAAGCTGAATTAAAAGCCTCTCAAAAGCTGCAGGAGCTGTAAGCGAGCGTCGTCATAGACTTCTATGGAGGCTTTGGAGACGCTTTGAAGCACCAAGAAATCATCACGGAGTATAACTTTTGAACACGATGTACACTAATATTGCCAAAAGTATTGGGCCGGCTCTCAAAATCATGTGATTATCAGGTGTTCCAATTCCCCTCCATATCATGTGATTCAGGTACTGCCCCATCCCCTCCATATCATGTGATTCAGTGTTCCAATCCCTTCCATATCAGGTGGATTCCCCTCCATATCATGTGAGTCAGTGGTTTTCCCAATCCCCTCCATATCATGTGAATATTTAGTGTTCCAATCCCCCCTCCATATCATGTGAGTCCAGGTGTTTCCAATCCCCTCCATATCATGTGATTCAGGTGTTCCAATCCCCCTCCATATCATGTGATTTTAGGTGTTCCAATCCCCCTCCATATCATGTGATTCAGGTGTCCCAATCACCCCTCCATATCCATGTGATTCAGATGTTCAATCCCCCTCCATATCAGGTTGGGAAGGTGATTCAGGTGTCCCCAATCCCCTCCATATCATGTGATTCTGGTGTTCCAATCCCCTCCATATCATGTGATTCAGGTGTTTTTTCCAATCCCTCATCCATATATCATGTGATTCAGGTGTTCCAATCCCCTCCATATCATGTGATCAGGGTGTTCCAATCCCCCTCCAGATGTGACATATTAGTGATGGTTGTTCCAATGAATGAAAGTCAGGTGTTCAATCCCCCTCCATATCATGTGATTCAGGTTTCCAATCCCCTCCATATCATGTGATTCAGGTTCTCAATCCCCTCCATATCCATGTGATTCAGGTGTCCCAATCCCCTCCATATCATGTGATTCAGGTGTTCCAATCCCCTCCATATCATGTGATTCAGTGTGTTCCAATCCCCTCCATATCATGTGATTCAGGTGTTCAGGTGTTCCAATCCCCTCCATATCATGTGATTCAGATGTTCCATGAAATCCCCTCCATATCATGTGATTCAGATGTGTTCCAATCCCCTCCATATCAATGTGATTCAGGTGTTCCAATCCCCTCCATATCATGTGATTCAGGTGTTCCAATCCCCTCCATATCATGTGATTCAGATGTTCCAATCCCCTCCATGTGAATCATGTGATTCAGGTGTTCCAATCCCCCCTCCATATCATGTGATATCAGGTGTTCCAATCCCCTCCATATCATGTTCACAATCCCCCTCATATCATGTCAAGGGATCCATTCAGATGTTCCAATCCCCTCCATCCAAATCATGTGATTCAGGTGTTCCAATCCCCTCCATATCATGTGATTCAGGTTTTCCAATCCCCCTCCATGATCACAGGTGTATACAATCAATCCCCCTAGGCATGCAGACGGCAATCCCCTACAAACATTGGTGTGTTCCATATCCCATCCAATGTGGGTCGCTCTCAGGAGCTCAGTGACTCCATAAGCAGTGGTCCGGTGATAGGTTGGCCACCTGGGCAATAAGTCCATCCGTGACATTTCCTGGCTACTAAATATTCCAGTCCGCTCAACTGTTGAGTGAAAGTGGGTCGGCTCTCTCGGAGCTCTGTGACTCCAAGGTGGTCCGGTGTTAGGTGGCACTGGGCATTAAGTCCTTCCGTGTCACCCCTAGGCATGCCAGAACGGCTTCTACAAAACATTTTGGCCACCTGGCAATAAGATTATATATTTCCACAAAGTGGATTATAACAAAGCCACTGGGAACAACAGCCACTCAGCCACCAAGTGGTAGGCCACGTCACATGACAGGGTGGGGTCAGCGCATGCTGAAGTGCAACAGTGCGCAGAAGTCACCAACTGTCTGCAGAGTCAATAGCTAAAGACCTCCAAACTTGGTGTGGCCTTCAGATGAGCCCAACAACAGTGCGTAGAGAGCTTCATGGAATGGGTTTCCATGGCTGAGCAGCTGCATCCAAGCCTTCCATCACCAAGTGCAATGCAAAGCATCAGATGCCGTGGTGTAAAGCAAGCCGCCACTGGACTCTAGAGCAGAGGAGACGTGTTCTCTGGGAGTGACCAATCACGCTTCTCTGGCAATCCGATGGACATGTCTGGGTTTGGCGGGTGGCCAGGAGAACGGTACTTGCCTGACTGCATTGTGCAGATCCATAAAGACATGGAGGAGCCAGTTTGGGGTGGAGGAAACTTGATCTGTCCTGCACAGAGTCCTGACCTCAACCCCATAGAACACCTTTGGGATGAAATTAGAGCGGAGACTGCGAGCCAGGCCTCCTCCCCCGACATCAGTGCCTGACCTGACAAATGTGCTTCTGGAAGAATGGTCCAACCTTCCCATAGACACCCTCCCATAGAAACCTAAACACATTGTGGACGGCCTTCCCAGAAGAGTTGAAGCTGTTATAGCTGCAAAGGGCGGGGCCAACTCAATATTGAACCCTACGGACTAAGACTGGGAGGCCATTAAAGGTCATGTGTGTTGGAAAGGGCGGGGCCAACTCAATATTGAACCCTACGGACTAAGACTGGGGGGCCATTAAAGGTCATGTGTGGGGGAAAGGGTGGGGCCAACTCAATATTGAACCCTACGGACTAAGACTGGGGGGGGGGCCATTGAAGGTCATATGTGTGGAAATGCCAGCCAACTCAATATTGAACCCTACGGACTAAAACTTGGGGGCCATTAAAGGTCATATGCGTGGAGAGGGCGGGGCCAACCTAATATTGAACCCTACGGACTAAGACTGGGGGACCATTACAGGTCATGTGCGTGGTGGAGAGGGCGGCCAGCCAATACTTGGGGCAATATAGTGTATGAACAGGACTGTAAGGTGACCATTTTATGGGCTTTAATTGGCATTCAAAGCGCTTTAAAAAAGCGTCTCCAACGCCACGTTTTGAAGCAAGTGTAAACAAGCCCTAATGCAGCACAACAGAGCATGAAGGTGTAATGGGCTTCAGTGTAAAAAAATATATATATATTTTATGGCAATTGTCACATTCAAAGACTTTCCCATTGTGTGCATCCACCCAGGCCGTGGCTCGGAAGGATTTTCAGACCGCTTCGGATAGGATTCTGAGATGCAAAGACATGTTGCTGAGGCAACCAAAGAAGGTGGGATGTGTGATGTGTGACCTATGTGTGTGTTTTATTTGTCCTTATTATTGATTGTTGTCAGTACTAAAAATTAAACATTTTTATATATATATATATATATACAGTGGGGATGGAAAGTTTGGGCCCCCCAGCTAAAAATGTGTATTAATGTGCATAAAGAAGCCAAGGAAAGATGGAAAAATCTCCAAAAGGTATCAAATTACAGATTAGACATTCTTATAATATGTCAACAAAAGTTAGATTTTATTTCCATCATTTACACTTTCAAAATAACGAAAACAAAAAAATGGCGTCTGCAGAAGTTTGGGCACCCTGCAGAATTAATATCTTGTACTGCCCCCTTTGGCAAGTATCACAGCTTGTAAACGCTTTTTGTAGCCAGCCAAGAGTCTTTCAATTCTTGTTTGAGGTATCTTTGCCCATTCTTCCTTACAAAAGTCTTCCAGTTCTTTGAGATTTCTGGGCTGTCTGTCACGCACTGCTCTTTTAAGGTCTATCCATAGATTTTCAATGATGTTGAGGTCAGGAGATTGTGAAGGCCATGGCAAAACCTTCAGTTTACGCCTCTTGATGTAATCCCCCGTGGATTTTGAGGTGTGTTTAGGATCATTATCCATTTGTAGAAGCCTCCTCTCTTTAACTTCAGCTTTTTCACAGATGGCATCAAGTTGCCATCCAAAATTTGCTGAACTTTTATTGAATCCATTTTTCCTTCTACTCGTGAGATGTTCCCTGTGCCACTGGCTGCAACACAACCCCAAAGCATGATTGATCCAACCCCATGCTTCACAGTTGGACAGAGGTTCTTTTCATTAAATTCTGTGCCCCTTCTTCTCCAAACGTACCTTTGCTCATTCCGGCCAAAAAGTTCAATTTTAACCTCATCGGTCCACAGAACTTGTTTCCAAAATGCATCAGGCTTGTCTATATGTTCATTTGCAAAGTTCAAACGATGATTTTTGTGGTGAGGACGTAGAAGAGGTTTTCTTCTGATGACTCTTCCATGAAGACCATATTTGTACAAGTATCTCTTTATAGTGGAATAGTGTACCACAACTCCAGTGTCTGCCAGATCTTTCTGGAGGGATCGTGTGCAGTCAAACGTGGGTTTTGAATTGTTTTTCTCACAATCCTGCGAGCTGTTCTGTCTGATATTTTTCTTGGTCTTCCAGATCTTGCTTTAACCTCCACTGTTCCTGATGACTGCCATTTCTTAATTACATTCCGAACAGAGGATATTGACATCTGAAAACGCTTTGCTATCTTCTTATAGCCTTCTCCAGCTTTGTGAGCCTCAACTATTTTCAGTTTCAGTTTTCTAGACAACTGCTTAGAAGAAGCCATGGTGCTGATTGTTGGGGCAAGGTCAGATGAGTCTGGGCATTTAAAACCTTTGAGACTGACATCACCTGGTCTTCCCAGACGATGATTGAGAACAATCCATGACACTGGCAGGTCTCAGCTTGGCAAAGGGGGCAGTGCATGCTATAAATTCTGCAGGGGGCCCAAACTTTTGCAGACGCCATTTTTTTGTTTTCTGTTATTTTGAAAGTGTAAATGATGGAAATAAAATCTAACTTTTGTTGACATATTATAAGAATGTCTAATCTATAATTTGATGCCTTTTGGAGATTTTTCCATCTTTCCTTGGCTTCTTTATGCACATTAATACAAATGTTTAGCTGAGGTGCCCAAACTTTCCATCCCCACTGTATATAAAATCCTTGTTTTATCAATCAACATTTAATGCGTGACAGAAGATTCCCAGAGCCCCATGGGCTAGCCGAACAGAGAGAAGAGCGGACACTGCTTGCTTTGCAGCTGCCTTTGTCTGATTGTGACTTTGTGTTGAGCCCCATGAGAAGTAATGGATTTTTTCAGCAATGTGACAAAGTGTCCCTGATATATAAATCTCCTGTATATATTATACATTATATATATTATTTTTTCAGCAGTGTGACAAAGCAACCGTCAATGTCCGCGATATATATATATTACAGGAGATTTATCTATCGCGGACATTGACGTTTGCTTTGTCACATTGCTGAAAAAATAATATATATAATATATACAGGAGATTTATCTATCGCGGACATTGACGTTGCTTTGTCACATTGCTGAAAAAAAATAATATATATAATATATACAGGAGATTTATCTATCGCGGACATTGACGGTTGCTTTGTCACATTGCTGAAAAAATTATATATATAATATATACAGGAGATTTATCTATCGTGGACATTGACGGTTGCTTTGTGACATTGCTGAAAAAATAATAGATAAATCTCCTGTATACATTATATATATTATTTTTTCAGCAATGTGACAAAGCAACCGTCAATGTCCGCGATATATATAATATATACAGGAGATTTATCTATATTTTTTTTCAGCAATGTGACAAAGCAACCGTTGCAATGTCCGCTGATATATATAATATATACAGGAGATTTATCTATTATTTTTTCAGCAATGTGACAAAGCAACCGTCAATTCCGCGATAGATAAATCTCCTGTATATATTATATATATTATTTTTTCAGCAATGTGACAAAGCAAACGTCAATGTCCGCGATAGATAAATCTCCTGATTATATATATCGCGGACATTGACGGTTGCTTTGTCACATTGCTGAAAAAATAATAGATAAATCTCCTGTATATATTATATATATCGCGAACATTGACGGTTGCTTTGTCACATTGCTGAAAAAAATATATTTAATATATACAGGAGATTTATCTATTATTTTTTCAGCAATGTGACAAAGCAGCTGTCAATGTCCACGATAGATAAATCTCCTGTATATATTATATATATTATTTTTTCAGCAATGTGACAAAGCAACCGTCAATGTCCGCGATAGATAAATCTCCTGTATATATTATATATATATCGCGGACATTGACGGTTGCTTTGTCACATTGCTGAAAAAATAATATATATAATATATACAGGAGATTTATCTATCGCGGACATTGACGGTTGCTTTGTCACATTGCTGAAAAAATAATAGATAAATCTCCTGTATACATTATATATATATTTTTCAGCAATGTGACAAAGCAACCGTCAATGTCCGCGATAGATAAATCTCCTGTATATATTATTATATTATTTTTTCAGCAATGTGACAAAGCAACCGTCAATGTCCGCGATAGATAAATCTCCTGTATATATTATATATATCGCGGACATTGACGGGTTGCTTTGTCACATTGCTGAAAAAATAATATATTTAATATATACAGGAGATTTATCTATTATTTTTTCAGCAATGTGACAAAGCAACAGTCAATGTCCGCGATAGATAAATCTCCTGTATATATTATATATATTTTTTTTGCACAAGGTGACTATATATATCGAAGAAGATGTTGCGATGGCTTTAAATAGCGAATAATAAAAAAGAAAAAAAAATGAAAGTT